GAAACAAAACGAAACTTTTCCGGACGGCTCGAGAAAGTTCCAGAAAGGGCACAAAAGATAATATAAAAGAATAGACGAGTAGAGTAGAAATAAATTGACCGTTGCAGAAGTGAATCTAGAAATAAATTGACAGCGCAGTGAATAGTGATATATCAACAGTACTGTAAATAAATAGAGTAATTCATCACTTAAGTTAGTAATAATTTAGTAGTGTTTTTAAGTCCTTTAATAATAATTAGTGTAAATAAATCGTTTTTGTCGTTGTGAGTCTTAGAAGACAGTCTGCTAAACCCACGAACATTACAATATCAACTGAAATGAAATAATGGTGACCCGAGATAAAAATGTTCAGTCTCTCATAGTCTTTGAAAGCGAGACTCGAGTCTCCGTCTCTCATCGAGTCTCTCTGGTGTCGCTGAGGAAGACTGCCGAGAGACTGTCAAAACAACTGTTTAGCGTCTCTGAACGAGAGACTCGATTCGCTCATAGAGAGATCCTCATTTTGTATCCAGTCTCTAAACGAGAGACTCGAATCTCGGAACGAGAGACTCGAATATCTGAACGAGAGACTCGAATCCCTGAATTAACAATTTTATCGTTCGAGTCTCTCATATAGAGACTGTGAGATCCATAAAAACACCTAGGCAATAACTGAGAGAGTGTGCAAGACTGTAAGAGACGCTGAAAGACTCTGAGAGATTGGAGAGGGATTTTTGTCTAGGGGAGTTATCAGAAATGCACAAAATAAAATCATAGATAAAAAACCCCTCTTAGAGACAACCTTTTATTTAAGCCATGCTGGCACTGAATCGAATAAAATACGTTTAGGTTTTATTAAAAGGTAATGCAATTTAAGCGATTTAATAATTTATGTTGAATTATTTGTTTTTAAAAAGCTTATTGTGCCAAATGTTAATAAGAGGTATTGATTAACTTTATTGGGCACTAATCCGTTGATAGTAATAATATATAGGAACATACCGAAATTCCTTACAATTACGTTTTTAATAAATTCCAAGTTAACGATCAATTTTTGATATTAAGAGATTTGTCTCTGACAAAAGCATTCCACGATTTGTCAAAAACAAATCCAAGGCTTTCTAAATCTACAGTATCTACATACGGCATAACTGTTCCAACAGACCCCGTATATTCGCACATTACTGTCCTAAAATGCGACAAGTAAAAAAAAGGACATTCGATGTTGTAACGGTTCTCTCAATTTTAATACACAATAATAACAACCAATTACTTTAATTAAAAAGACCGTTCATGTAGAGTCCTATAACTTCTTAACAAAGATATGCTGGTAATTATTTATCTACAGAATAAAACAGTAAAAAAAAAAGATATCGACACGAATGTAGTGAATATTTTTTTTTTCGACGCTGCTGTTAATTAACGGTCAGTCATAAAGATAATGTAACCGGTGAGACACCGATTTTCATTTTTTTTTTGTTATTTATTTATTATTTAACCGTACGGTAATTTGCTTGCGATTATTAGGTGTATGAACGGTGCACGCTAATTGGCAGACAGTAATTTCTTTGTCGGTGTTAATGATCTTTAATGAGCTAATGCAAGTTAATTAGGTATTTTCTAGTAACTGTAATGAAGAAACTAAATGTTTCCGCGTATTTTATAGGGGTGGCCCAAAAATGTATTCGAAATATAGAGGTTTAGTGTACAGTAAAAGTTCCTTATTCACGGTTTCCTTATTCGCGTTTTCATTATTCGCGGGTAAAAAAATTGCAACTCAGTTCCTGTATTCGCGGCTAAAAATTTTATTATTCGCGGATGCAATCGGTAAACACAAAAGGATTCGGTGTCATTTATTAAGGGGATTGACCGCAATAGACCGCTCGTACCTAGTGTGAATTTTTCCGAAAACATGGGTTTCTATTTTAAACGTTGTGATTTAATGCTGCAAGATAAATATGTGATTTTTTGGATAACAGACAAAGGTGCACACTAACTCGGTACGTGTTTGTTTTTCAATAATATGATCATTAAAAGCTTTTACAAGAGCTTAAAGTTGATGCTTCATGTAGGACACGTATTTTAAATAGAAATTAAAAAATGAAATAATGGCCTTCGACAGACTTTAGAACAAAGCTTTATCTATCTTACTACAAAATTTTAAACATATGTTCCAAACATTAAACTCATGATATCTAGAACCGATAAGCATGTTTTTACTGTATCGCGCGTGTACCTACTACTGAATACCGAAGCAGCTTTTATAAAAAATGTTACCGAGTAAACAGAAAAGGATTCGGTTTTACTTTTCAACTTATCGGCATGGTTCAAGTACTGTTGGCTCGTGCCTAAGCGACTTTTATAAAAGATGTAACCGAGTGGATTAATTTCAAAATTCAAAACAAGAAAAAATCACCAAATTTTTTAAACTCCTGGCTAAAGCTGATTATAACGCTTAATTTCAATTGTGAATTTATCACTACATTTTTTTTATACATATTGGTTTTATTTTGGAACCTTAGAACGTATCCCCTATGATTCCATACTAATTACCATTCCATATCCACGGTTTCTGTATTCGCGGCATATTTATGGAACATATACCCCGCGAATAAAGAGCTTTTACTGTCTAAACACTTGTATCTTATTTTGGTCTACCTTCAGTATAACGTAAAATTTAAAACCGCAAGCACATTCAACTTCACATGAATCAAGACGCTTAGGCCTAGCGCGCACTGCGATTATTTAGTCGCGAAAATGTAACACCGGCTAACACGGTAAATGTTAAATTGCGCATATACGATTAATTAATCGTTTAGATTAAAAAATCGCAACTGGTCCTTTTTTTCTTGCCGCGTGACTGTCGCGGGTGAAGAATGAATCGTACGGACAGCAATAAACCTGCTCGCACTTGCGACCAAACTGTCGCAGTTCACTGATGATCTGCTTAATGTTAATGAATACATTGTGATTATTAAACATACCGTATTATGAGTCCTATGCTGTAAACATAGGAAGAAGAAACGTCGCATAGCGTTTTGGATACGGAAAGAATGATATTCGAAATTGAAAAAAAAAAACTGTCGTTTTACTAATCTCTGATTTATTATAGGATGGAACCAATATTGTCTGTTCTGCTTCCTTTTAGTATTATTAGCATTTATTCGTAATAACAATTGGTGGTTCTCACCGAGCGGCATGGCCTAGATTTTTAGACCATTGCTTAACATTCGGGAGGAGGTGGGTTCGATTCCGGGTCCATTTGCCTTGGTCCAAGTTTTTCTGTGGTTTCCTTGGATCACTTAGGGGGCATCCATTAATTACGTGAGCTCTTTTTGGGTCGTTTTAGACTTCTCCCTCCTTGGGTGAGATTTAGTGAGATTTGCCAGGGGTGGGGGGATCTCCCCTAACATGAGATTGACGCTAAAAATATTTTAAACTTAATTTATTTTTATTATTCGGGATAATAATAAATCGTTCAGGTATACTATAGTTAATATACTTTTTTTAAATATCTGTAAAATTTTATATTTTTTGAAGTTGACGTGAGATTTTCGATTATCCCCCCCTCGGTTTAAATGAGATTTGGTGAGATTTCGTTGGACCCCTCCCCCCTATTCTGAGTTCATGTAATTAATAGATGCCCCCTTAGGCAAATCCTGGGGCTGTAATATTCCACAGATAACCATTCATTCTTTTCTGTCTTCATTTTCATCCATCTCATCTTTCTTTTCCGAATCACTGAAAGGAGGCTGAAAAAGGTCTTCCGCCCTATCTTCCGGCGTAATCCGGAGGGACTGGCCGCCCACCAGCATTAGTGGCTGGTGGGAGTGAAACACCCAAAAGTTTTTTTCTTTTAGTGGCTCATTTGTCTTTTGCTGATGTAGTCACCATAGAGACTTCTCAGTCCTCCATGTCATCAGAAATTAGCGTAGCAAAATTTCAAATAAAACGTATCTTTACATAAAAATGACGTAGACAACGACATACTGATAAATAAAAAAGAAACGCGATTGTTGATCATTGCATTGTTAAAAACGTTGTGTAAAACTTTCCGTTTACCAATATATCACTCCATAAGTTATCGCAGTTTCTCTGTCCGTTGACAATTCACGCTCAGGGCCGGCTTCGGATTGCAACTTCTTCTAGCTTTCTTAAATTTCTTTTCTCCCTTAATCACGCTGCTTTACTCACTACATGATTCCCTATTGCATCTAATTAACATCCTCCAAAGCTGGCTAGTTATTTCAGGAAGACCCTGTATAAACATTTTCAAATATGTACATGAAACTTCCTGAAAAACAGAAAATATAATGTTTCCAAAAATAACGAGAAAGGGTCTAGCTCGAAAATTCAAGATATCCTTCTATTTGAAATTTCTTTTAAGAGTACAATAGAATCACGGTCCATACCTGCAACAGGTAAAGGCTATTGAACATTATCAAACAATCCCTTTCTAACCAGTCATCCCCTTTCGATCTTACACAATACGGATCGTCGTAGCGTACCGTACCGATACCTGTAAAGAAAAGTCCTGTTCAGTACCAAGTGGCTTATAACTGACCACTCACAACCTGTTTACTACTCAAACAAATACACACACATGCATACATATATATTTTATGTGTATTTATGGGATGCCAACTCATTTTATTATTACCGTTGAATTAGGAGCAGGTAACAATATTCTTTCGCAAACAAGGAAAAGTCCGGCAAAGGGTCAAAATACATACACACAATACATGTGTGAATATATTTATTCACGAGAGGGTGTACGCCTTTTTTAATCCAAATCTCAACCCGATATACGCAAGATACCCCACGCTTGCCATCTGCCTTTCGTTTTATGTGGGAACCAAGTCGATCTCGCCGTTCCCACGCATCGCACCACAAACCCCCTACTCATACACATGCATCAAGGAACACCTGCCCTTACCGAGCGCTACCATAGGCCGGCATCCTTTGCCCCTTCCGAACCTTCGAAGGGCTCGTCCGGCTATAAAAGCAGCAAAAATCTCGACCAAAATTCATATCTTTCTTCACAACAAACACGCTAGTTTCGATACGAGTATATTATACTATACGAAAAAAAAATGTCTTCATATTACGATTACGTAATCGCCTCGAATAATAGTGTCAACGACAACAAGCTAAACGCCAAGAAAGCCCGTTCGATGTCTCACCAGTTCAAGCAGCTGCTGAAACCGCTTTTCGGTGCTTTAAAGAAGAACAACAAGAATCTCGAGATCGAGCAACAACAGACTCATTACTATACGACCGAAGTAGAGGACAACGCCGCCAATGAAGCTCTCGAACAGAGACTGTTCGAAGAGATCGACTGCTGTGGTGATTTCGCCGGGGTTCCTGTCTTCAACAGCAATGGACACCTAGAGGTCATCCCCGTAGCCAGAGGTCAACGTTACATACCAGTGCATTTTGCCAAAACCGAAGCGGGAACCTTCTTTTGGACGACTGTTACCACGCCAGATCACGATATTGTGTCGATAGGTGACAAAAATGCGATCTGCTGCCACCAGGAAGCCGAGCTCCAGGTACCATGCGACAGGTGGGCCCAAGCCTAACAGAAAAAGAAGACGCCCGGTGTGCAATTACCTATATTAGTGCCTCGCAGAAGTAACAGTTAACATAGAGTAAGTCTGTTGTGATAATGCTTGCTCAATATTTCGTTTTTAACCAGAAAGTTGTGATAGTAGCTGTAAGGTATATTCAATTGAAAAATTGATAAATGATGACGTACCTTTTTGTATTACCTTAACGATTAATTATGTGGGTATCTATACTTATTACTATTTTTAACTTTTTGTAAAAGTTACATATTTNTGTTCACGGGACATAGAAATTGCACATTTCTTTGTCGGTATTGACAAAACAGTACTGTACGAAAATAAATAAAATTAAATCAAAAATATTGGTAGGTATGTAAGGGAAGAAAAAGTAGGGAAAGAGCGAATATAAAGATAGGAGAAGAGAGAAGAAGAAAATAATGAAACAATAAATCAAAATAATAATGAAAAAGATTCTAGTGTTTAAAATGAAATAACTAATACAGTGATTTTAAAAGCAGACAAAACTTAATTGCAAAAGAAAAAAACAAACAATCAACGCAAGAGGTATTTAAACTATTTACCTGTATCCCTTATTTTGGATATTCGATCATAAAACATGTGAAAAATATAAAAAAAAACATAAATAACGAAAAGTGTAACATGAATTCTAAAAGATATCAATTAATGACTGTGAAGTCAATTACTATAAAAGGTGAATACTGATGAAGCATCCTATGTTCGGTGATATGTGTAAGAAAAAAAGAATAAAGGTAAGTAAGTTCTTAATTAGAAAAGGGCCTTCATTGAACATTAACTAATCACACAATAGTAAGTAGCAAATTTCTACAGGTGGCGATCACTACGCTGTCTGTGTTTAAAAATTGACAGATTAGATTGAATTAAATTAAAACATTCCATTTTATGATCTTACAAATAAAAGATCAAATGTTATGTTTCAATGAAATTATTAACTAATGACCTTTCCTACAATTATTGTGTTTTGCCACCTAAATCAATTCGTTTCAGTTTGTAATTAAGCTTAAAACAATACACATTAATGCATTCGCACAAAACAATTAAATACTGTTTAATAATGTCATTTTTTAATTTTAAATTTTCATTGCAATTTATAATAGGTCAGTCAGCATCAAAATATAAAATACCATAGTTGTAATAATAGGTACCATAATAAGGTTCAATCTGCCGCACAACATTTTTGAGATCATGAGGACTTTCTTTTTTAAAAGAGGGCAATAATGTAGGTAATAGCGACTGAGTGCTCAAGTAATAAAAAAAATGCACCCTTAAAATATAAATTTGCTGTGAAAAAAGAAAATGAAAATCTGTCTAAAAGGACTTGTATAAGTCATCTTTATTTGTGTGGTCCCAATATTCTGCTTGTTATAAAATAAGTAATTGTTAGAATCTGTCCAGTAATAATAAAGTTAGGTAAATAGTATTGGCAAGGAATATTCAAAATAGAATTTTATTAAGTAGATAAAATTGATTTGATATTATTTTTATTTTGCTAGTGAATGGTAAAATCAATAAAATAGCAATAGATAGAACTAGGGCTAGGACTCGTTGAATTGCGTATGCAAATAGAAATTATCATTCCAGTTGAATATGAACTGGAGTTACTAAAGGGTTGGCTGGAGTAAAATTTTCTGTGTCTCCAAGTAAGGTGCTGATAAGGTAATTATTATTAAGACGATAACGGTTAAAATAAATCCTACTAAATCTTTTAGTGAATAATAAGGACGGAATGGCAATTTATCTACATTTCTGTTTAATCCTAAAGGATTGTTTGATCCTGTTTGGTGTAGGCATAATAAATGAATAATTACTAGAGCTAATACTACGAAAGGTATGATGAAATGTAAAGTAAAGAATCGCGTTAATGTTGCATTATCTACGACAAATCCTCCTCAAAGTCATTGTACAATTCTGGTTCTAAAGTAAGGAATAGCTGATAGTAAGTTGGTAATAACTGTGGCTCCTCAAAATGATATTTACGTACGAGAAAATCCTGCAAATCAAAGCGTACACTACAAGAATCAGATTTTAAAACGTTATTTAGATTTGAGTAGGAGAATGTCGTGTGGTTGACGGATCACTTTTTTGGCGAGTATCCCGAAACACGTGGAGCAGTGGTCTCACCTGTGCAGAAAATAAAAATATTTCTGCGTTATTGTGCCAACCATTTTAAATTTGCTAATTTTCAACACTGCACAAGTAAATCAGGAATGTATTAAACAAATAACATAAACAGCTGTCACGGAACACACACACTTTGATTGCACAGTGGAAAATTCAACAAGTTGGTCGAAATCGGTAGGTACCAATCTGTCCCTTTGACTTTATTAATCGGAAGCAAAAGGTATAGATTATGAATAGGAATTGTAGCAAAAGTTTTTACTTCTACCTTTTACTTGAAAGTAAATGATTTATTTGTCTATGGTAGAATTACTTCTCACCGAAAGTTATTAATGCTTGATTGTAATTTCTGTTCTGAGGATGAATTAATATCATTTTGATTTTGTTTAACCGGGTCCCTTAACCGAGCGGCATGGCCTAGAGGTCTAGACCATTGCTTAGCATTCAGGAGGACACCAGTTGGATTCCGGGTCCGTCTGCCTTGGTCCAAGTTTTTCAGTGGTTTCCTTGGATCACTTAGGCAAATGCTGAGGCTGTAATATTCCACAGATAATCTTTCACTCTCTTCTCTCTTCATTTCGTCAGCCTCATCTTTCTCACCCGAACCACCACCCACCCATTCCCACGATTCCTGAAAGCAGGCTGAAGAGGGCCTTCTGCCCTACCTTCCGGCATAGTCCGGAGGGGATGCCCGCCCACCAGCATTACTGGCTGGTGGGAATTAAACACCCAAAAGTTTTTTTTTAGTTTTTGGGTCCCTTAAAACTGTAGAACTTTTAGGTCGAAATTCATATTCTACTGTTTTTCTCTGTTAGTTGATCTACTCCACGGATCTACAATCTGGGAAGAAAGGCTCGACAAAGAAATCCAGCCCCTAATAATGTCGAAGAGATGAAATTGGCGTTAATGGAAGAGTGGAACAACTTACCCCAAGAAATTATTGATTAATTTAAAGCATGCAAAATAGTTTAGGGCTTCAAATAGAGCCCGCGGCGGCAATACAAGGTATTAATTTTTTTTTATGTTTGCTGAAACAGTTTCTTTGTAATTTTGGTTTAATTCTTCAAAAAGAAATATATAAGTTAATTATATGATTTATTTTAGATAGTTTCAGCGCAACTGATCATTGTAATAATAAAAAAAATATGTAGAACATTTTATTTATAAAACCAATCTTCTTTTTGCGATACTCTAACTGTGCTGGTGTGTGTATATCCATGTATATGTTATGTAAATCTATTCAATATTTTTATCATCCAAAAGAAAAAAACGGTAACAAAACAGAATTGCCTTAATTAATAACTATCGGAACCGATAGAAACCCTTTAAATGGATGTAGTTTTGCAGGTGGGTTTTAAAAATTCCATTCTACTGCCGTGGCTCGGCAGGCAGGCAACCCTGATGATAAAATAGATGATGCGGTCTCCCTTCCCTTATTTGGTTCTTTCAATCTGGCGATTCGAGGGCCATTTCTCGAACCCTTAGGCGATTCACGTGCACGACCATTAGAAGATCCATCGGTCAGGGTGTAAAAAGGCACAAATAACGCGAGTGGGCGGTCTGACGAGGGCCTCTCTATACAGGATGTAAATGATTAGATACGGTCGTGGTCAAGGTATTAGGTTTACATCTTATATGCATATACAGGGAAGGCAAAATGTTCACGGGACATAGAAATTGCACATTTCTTTGTCGGTATTGACAAAACAGTACTGTACGAAAATAAATAAAATTAAATCAAAAATATTGGTAGGTATGTAAGGGAAGAAAAAGTAGGGAAAGAGCGAATATAAAGATAGGAGAAGAGAGAAGAAGATATTAGAAGAAGTAGCTGATTCTAGGTATTTAGGAAGTCTGATAAGTCCGGACGGAAGGAATAGTAGGGATATAAAGCAGAGGATAACGCAGGGTCGAGTCGCATTCAATAAAAAGAAGTCACTTCTATGCTCCCGAATTTAGACATTCGAAAAAGGTTGTTAAAGGTGTATGTTTGGAGCACGGCACTGTACGGGTGCGAAACATGGACAGTGGGCGCGGCGGAAAAGGAAAGATTGGAAGCCTTCGAAATGTGGTTTTACCAGCGAATGATGAGGATACAGTGGATATAGAAGGTTAGAAATGAAGAGGTATTAGAAAGAGTAAGAGAACACAGGACTTTATGTCCTTCTCATGCGAACTTGTCATGACTATTAAAGAGAATAGTGTCGCTAGTCCTGAGAGTTATGAAAACTACAAAATTTACCCTTCCATCAATGAATAAATTAACCCTTCAAGTAGTAGTACAAGTAGGATTGCCAGATGATCGGGATTTGGCGGGATACCCCCGAATTTTTGTATTTCCTCCCGACTCCCGACAAAGTAAAAAATATCCCTAAAAACAACTTCATTTTATAAAACAGTAAGTTTAAGTTTCGAATTCCCAAGAGTGTTTAGTACACTAAACAATCTTTACACAAAAGAAAGGAACCGAATGTGCATAGATTTGATAAAAGCAGAGTTAATTATTCGACTTAATTTTGAGGAACATTTAATTTCAAGTCTTCTTTAAATAGTAAAAAAGGTCAAAAAACGGTTAAATCTGTGAAAAGTAACACAAAATACATGTGGCAAGCTAAAAAATAAATTGGTAAAATAATAGATAATTTGATTTATTTTATTTTTGTTTCTCCCGACCAAAGTCCCAAAACCCCGATAAATTGTTTTATTTTTCTCGTGATAACAGGATAATTCAGTTCGGCAACTCTAAATACAAAGTGTTCGAAAGAAGTAAAAAATATCGAAAAAAAATTAGTTTGTGTATATATTTCAACCATGTGTTATCAAGATATAGGAACAAAGAACTTACCTTGAGGACAGTGGAAAAAATGTTTTTTTATTTCAAGCAAAGAGTATATGTTACAGTTGCTTCAAATACACGTGGTTTAACTCATAAATCCAATGGATATAATAATTTTTCATGTGGTCTGGTGTATTTGGTCTTGCTCTTTCATATCCGGTCTTGATTTTAGTCTTGGCCTTGTTAGTACAAACGCAGTCTGTAAAAATGCAAGACCAATACCAAGACTGCAAAACGAAGATCAATTTTGCTCATCGCTCAGTGCTGTCATATCTTTAAAAATAAAGAAGTTATGGCTTGGGGCGTTTTTGTAAACCACCCCGTATACGAAAAGATGATTGAGGGTATGTATTTGTACGACTTTGTCTATGGAAGTAATACAATATTCCTATATTCGGTTTTCAACTCGCCGTTAGGGTATATACGGGACCCACTGGACGTAATCTTCGGTAGTTAGAAAATACAGTTTTTTTAACGGCCCTTTGTTCAACCAAAAAGACGTAGAAACAGAGGTAAAAAAGAATTTAAAACGAGACAAAGATCGGACAACAGTATAAATTTCGGACTCAGAATTAATATCCAACGTAAAATAGGCGACGGTAATAAATATAAAAGGAAATTTAATGATCGCACGACAGAAGTGATGGTCTGTAAGTGGTTAGAAACGAGCCGTATAACATATCGGTGTTGCCAAACTTAAAGTATTGTCCAGGCTCTAGGGGCATTGTCTAGGAGCATTCGCAGTCCGTAATAATTTAAAGTAAATACTAAATAAAACGAAAGCGATATTAACAGAATAGCATGGTATGAAAATTAATAAAAAAAAACAAAAATTTTGGTATGTAAGGGATCCAAAGTAGGATTAGAACTAATACAAAAATAGATGTGGATGAACTAGAAAAAGTAGCTAATTTTGAATATTTAGGGAGTCAGATGATTCAGGAAAAATCGATAGACATATGAAACACAGAATATGCAGGTTTAGGTGGCTTTTAACAAAAAGAAATCAACTTCTGTGTACAAGGTCGATTAATTTGGAAATTAGAAGACGATTATTAAAGATTCTCGGATGTGAAAGTTAGAGGCGCTTGGGATGTGGCATTACAGGAGGATATTATAAAGGTACTGTGAATAGAAAAGATTACAAATGAGGAGTTATTAAAAAGAGTAGGAGAACAGAGGGCGCTATGGAAGTCAATAAAAAATAGACGAAATAGTTTGGTAGGACATCTTCTCAGATAATATGGGTTGGTTAAAGACATGACAAAAGCTAGAATGGGGTACAGGTAGGTCAAGATTTGTTTATTTAATTATATAACACAGCCTACGATTAATCCATAACACGGCCACACAAAAAAAATCTGTCTGGGGGTCTGACTATCTGTTGTATACCGTATGTTTTTGGGGTTGCTAAATCCAAATCCGCGGTCCCTAACACTTCAGGTTTCGGACATAAACACAGAAAACACTCCAAAATCCGCTGAAACCGTTAATCATAATAATACCAGATTATTTTAAACCTAAAACCCGTAATCAATCAGCTATTCCACTTAATGTATAACTTCAAAACCCCTAACCCTATAATACTGAATTATGGACGGGGGGCACTGCGGAAAAGAGGAAGTTAGAAGTGTTTGAAATGTGGCGTTACATGCGGATAATGAAGATACCGTGGATAGAGAAGGTTAGAAACGAAGAGGTATTAGAAAGAATAGGAGAACAGAGAATATCTATGGAACTCAATAAGAAATAGGCGAAGTAGGTTGGTAGGACACCTTCTCAGACATAATCAGAGACATATTAAAAATAGTTAAAGATATGAGATGTTTTGGATTTAGGAAAATGCGAAGATTAGCTCAATATAGGAAATAGTAGAGATGCGTGTTTAACCAGTCTTAAGACTGGCGACCTTACGATGATGATGATTGCTTGAAAAGGTTTATCATTCCCTGTTCTTTATATAATTTGTGTGTGAACTTACTTTGCCATTTTCTTCTTCTTCAGATCATTTAT